TTTTATGTGCCTGTGACCTCCTAAACGCCTCCATTCCAGATTGGCGGCCCTGGATCGCACCGAAGGCGGCAAGCGGCTCGGAGTTGTAGCCGCTGAACATCCAGGGGCCAAGAACGGCCCACCTTAGCTTATGCCCCACAAACCTGTATCGCACTTATAGGTTCCGCGACGTAAGGGTGCGCGAAACAACTGTAAACAGGAAGAAATGAAAGGCATCGACACTCATACCAACATCCGTCGAAACTGCTCGTGATCCTATGACTGATTGATAAACTTGGGAGGTCCTATCGCTTTACGGGTTTTAGCCCTAGTCCACATCTAAGATATCGCTCTAGACGCCTCCTCAACATGGGGTACCCCTTTCGGGGGCGTTACACTTCATGAGGATTCAACAACGCGAGGCGAAATTTTGTTTCGTAAAGAACGTAGAGGGCTGGGATCCTCCGTAATCAGAGAGAAGCAGGTGGTTCAGTTTAGCTTTAGCTTTGTAGAAATACGCAAGGCTGGGAACCTGCGCCTTATGTTGAAAGCAAATTGAGCTCCGAAATACGCTTTTGTATTATTATTGAGGTGCAACTGGCCTGCTGGACTACAGTTCCTAACCCCTTGTAGAACTCGATTGCATGGCCAGATCATATAAGCAATTTAAAGAGGAAACGCAGGTTTCTGGTTTGAAAAGCCTGGCCTTTAAAACCAACTGCTTTCTGGTTTCATCACAAGCCTTCCCCAGAATGATTTTCAGCAGATAAAATTCAATTAATTGATTGAACCCCCCGCCTCGACACCAAGATCTTATGGTGGATTGCGGTGTCTGCCACATGTAGAGACAAGCACAATCAACAGCAAGAGAAGCTGTTTGAACCCTTGGACTCAGAAAGTGAAGCGCTAGGTTCGCGCACTTCTGCAAGAAGCCGTTTGTTTGGCTGCCATGTGTGGGTCTGAAAACGCGTGCACAATCAGCATCAGGCGATATGTTGCCATCTAACTGCAGCGCAAATGGGAGTGGGTCCACTACACCAGCCAGCAAAGTCACGTCTGCGGCCCCACATTGCGTGGAGTGTCAGCTTCGTCCACCTCCTGGATAGGTAGAGCCATGGGCATGAATGAAACTGTTCAAAATGTGTGCTGTAGTCTTCAGAACGAACACAGACGCAGCCGCAATCCAGTCTAATGACCAAGGCACTTCTAAATGCAGCGACTCAGCATGTCGCAACTTGGAGCCTCAGCTTAAGCAGGAACAGCATGGCTTGTGAATGTCTCAGCGGCTACCTCTGTCTCCCAGTCTCCCGGGCAACTGCAAAAGGCCCTCAGAGATTCTGAGATTGCTGCCACTCACCGCGGCTCCAACGAAACAAGTGATGATTGGCAAGCTCACGGGATGTTGCCATAGCTTCATTGAGGGGGTTCAGATGTGCGCGTGAGAAACTAGATAGCGAAAACTAGCTACGGCCTTTCTGCATAATCTCCGCTGCAGAAGTCTTGTATTCTGGTCCCTGGCCCTTGTTTTTTTCCCATCATGTATCCGCAGCCTAAAAGGTGCCCAATGGCTGCGCAGGGAAGAAGGCGGGGGAACTAAATGTCGATGACAAGCTTAGAAACTCAGCCTGTTCACTGGCACAGGCCCATGTTATAGATAAATAGGCTTCCCCGAGAATTTTGCCGCGCAAGGCAGCACTCCACGGATGTGAAACAACTCCGTCTAGCGTCTAGAGGCACTGGCTGAGGTAACGATCCGACAACATTATCGCACAGAAGACTAACTGCAGCCGGTCACAAGTCCAACGTCGTAGCTAGCGCTATGGCCGCACGTTGAAACTGATCCCAAGCCGGAGGAGCCTCGCCCAGTTATGATTGCAGCTACATGCTAGTAGGAAGAAACTATTCAGCAGCGCCGGCCGCAGCCACTGCTTGCAGTGTGAAACCCTCGGTTCCCACGCCAGCAGCGGCCAGCGGTGCGCTTTGTGCGCCTGTTGCTCAGCAACGCAACGAATCCCAGCAACCAGCGCACAACTTAAACCAGAAGGCTTCCTCCGCCTTCAAGCTGAACTGACTCAAACCAGCCCTCCCGGCATCTGCGTTCTCAAAAAACTCGATCGCGCCTACGAACTAACTAGCATCTGAGCTCGGGGCTGCTGCAGAGGCTTGTCGCAAAAGGCCCGAAGCCACAGCTAACTTTCCTGGTGAGCAGATTCTTGAGTAAGAGCCTTGATGCTCTTTAGAGCCTGATGATGCAAAACCATGGCCTTTTCATTCCATAATATTGTTTAACGTGTTCATTCCTTTGCAGTTGTGCTAGCCAGCTACTTAATTGGTGAATGCAGCGAACACGAGCAGGACATCCTTGACACTTCATGACTCGACCACACTCCACGTCTTCTGCAACTGGCAAGCTGTATCTGAGTCTGAGCGCGGCATGGACAAGCGAAAGGGAGAAGTGCTACTTGACCGTACTTGCATCTGCTGTCCATTTTAAGCTCACCACCAAGATGCGCAGGGGTTGCGCCTCTGTGTTGAGGACAAACTCCTATCAAGCCACTTCGGGTCCGAAGCTCCCCATCAGCAGCGCGCAAGCAGACTTCGTCCTCCAGATTCAAGGTACTTCTGGGCGAGAAGAGAAGGTAAAAGTACCTCAAACAGCTCAAGCCCAGATAAATCCAGCTCTACCAGAGCCTACCATTCCACACACGTCACAGAAAGATAAAATCAGCAGCTGTATGCAGTTGCCATGGAATGCACATGCCAGGCTTGTCAGGCCGTTGTACAAGAAGCCACGTGCAGCCAGCTTCAGTCAAAGTGCTTCAAAGTCTCACCGAGCCAGAAGCTCTCCTGTTCAGACCAGAGAAAGAGGGCCGGGAGACATGAAGGTGCAAAAGCAGTGAACTGAAGCTGACCTGGCTGTCACGCTTTGGCGGCGGCTTCTTTCGGACGTCTGTGATGGCAGAGAAACCATACTTTACCTGGCTTCTCGCGACACATTGCTTTCCAGCTGTCATTGCATAAGCCTCTGATTACGGAACTGGCCCACCAAGACTTGCACAACCAACTGCGGCATTGAGATTTGAGCCAAGCGTTTTTCCTTGATCTAGCAGATTCAGACGAGCAGAAGCAGCTGCACCCGCTCAAAATGAGCAATGCCCGCTAGCCTTGCAGTGCCGCAGGAATGGCACAAACATCTCGTGGCCCTGGGGAATGGGATGAGTTTGAGTAGTGGGTTGCACACTGCAAAGGGCTTGACGTCTGATGACTTGCAGCAAACTGACTTGACCGGACACGCAGCTCCATCCGTGGGATGTGTCGCTGTTAAGAGAGAGTTTCACCGTCTCTCCTTTGCACCTACCTCATGGATTCGCTACACCTTAATAAGCTACTGATCAGGTCAGCGAGCGCATCTTCTCTTGCAAAGGACTTTTATATCTCGGCTGCTGTCTGAGCCAAACACCCACTGTCGGTACTTCGGGTCACCTGTGTAGTACCACATGTACCACAGCGCCTGCCGGGGTTGTGACATCTAAAAAAGATTGGGGCCTCCTGCTTGACAACCGCTGACAAATTTATCTTCGAAAACATTCTAGGTCAAAGGCCACAAAGCTCACGGATCCGTACAACTAGCAGCAGCGTGTTGCCTTAGACACCTTTCTCATGAAAAGCTAGGGGCCTCAGCAGCCTCAGGTCGCAGCAAGTTGTGCGGCGCGTCCCCCGGCACAGACATCTCTTGACCCTGCCGATCACAAGCTGCTCAGGCTTATAGCTTGAGCATTGCCGTGTTGCCATGATGCAAACGCTTAAACGAGTTGCCCTGGTGCACAGCTGCCGCATAAGTTTCCCAATGTTTCCCAGTTTCAGTAGAGCGACGGGCCCAGTCCAGACACAAGGGCCCCTCTAAATTTCAGGCGGCACCGGAAAGCACGGAGTTCCATGCAACTGAACCTTCTTGTAAGACCCTACAGCCTTTTTCAGACAACTATCTCTGCCGGCTCTGCAAAGCTACCTGGAGAGTGCAGTGTTCCCCTCACAAATTACAAACCCGGATATTTTTCGATGGGCCACTCTCGCTGCTTGGAGGTTGAAGGCGACGTATTCCGGGGAAAGCCCTGTGGGCATGCGCCTCAGCATGCGTGGGCATCAAAGAAATCTTGGAAAATCGCATACGGTGATAGCTTGTAGGCTGCGAGCGCTCTATCAACAGATTTGTCGATCAGCTAAGGCTCCAGCACATACATCTGGTAGCAGGTGTGCGTCAGCTCAGCCTCGGGAAAGCTGGAAAAATCTGAACAAGCCCCAGACTGCCAGAACCTTCTAACGTGAAGCAGCTAGACAGCCAACAAGAATCCAAAGCAACGAAGCCCAAACTAACCCATTCCAGCAGGAGGGGCTCCGTCGACTCCCAAGAAACATCAATCTTGCAGACTTCTCTCTCTCTCTCTCTCAAGAAATCATTGCAGTCGATTCGACACTTTTCTGCGGGGAAGCGGAAGCCGGGGCCAAGGCTGCAAAGGGCTCCCAGCGAGGATCTACCTGGCCCGAGAGCAGGTGGAGAAAACTCGGAAAAAAGCTTCAGGTCTGTGTGCTCCAGGTCATTTGCGTGAGAATAGATGCCTCTTCTTCAAATTTCCTCAAACACGTACGTACGATGTACCTCCTACAGGCTACACTGTGATCCCAACGCTACATCAACGATTTGACAGCATGAGCATATACGTAGCGTTCGGACCGAGATTGCAAGGAGTACCAAGCAACGCCGGCTTCAAATGTCAAATGCTGTCAATACAGGGCTAGTCACATCAACCGGTGCGCAGCAGCAAGTGCCAGGCCAAGCATCCTTCAACCTTGAGCTCCCTTGCTGCCACTAATATACCTACGTAGGATAGTGACAACATGTGACAACTCGAAGCGTAGTGCTATCATTGCGGCCTCAACCGGACCTGGTGACTTTCGAGAACCTTTTCACATTTTAGGGACCAGGACTGTATGCATAAGCACCACTGGATACCCCTTGCCAACGCTCTCTTACGAGCTTGATATGCTCGGTAGGCCTCGTCCCTGGGAAGCGTCCTGCTGCCAAGCCTGTCCATGTCGGCACAGTGATGGACATTTCAGAGTCGCACGGGCGGATCTGTTCGCTTCGGTGCTGTCCGGAGCACGTGTATGCCCAAGATTTCCACATCAATGTTGTTCAATTCATTTGGCAGGCACTTGTTCTGACCAAGATTCATCATCCAGCTGACTCCACTATGACATCCTCCGGTCTTTGAAAACAGTGCAGCTTAGCGGGGCTTCAACTGAGCTTGCAGCATGAGCATACCGGCCTGGGCTGGTGGCAGCAAGAGGCCGACGAAAGAGCATGACAAACCATGCGAATGATGAATGCTGCTTCTCGCCTGCTTGGACATGAGCTGATATGAAGGTCTTGGGGCATGACGCATTGGCGACGGAGAGGCGAGGCAATTCGGTCAATTGTCCATGGTGTAACGATTTGGGTGCGTTCAATATGTCAGGAGCTTGATGCCTTGCATTGTAACACAGGATTTTGCAGCTTCTAACCTATCAACCCTCCGATGGTAAGTTCAAGTGTGGACCCTGCCGTGTTTGATAAACCTCTGATACGGAACCAAGGAACATGGAAGAGAGGCCCTCCCAGCGCCCACTCCCCCATGTGTGCAAAAGACCGCTACCTTAGTGGGAGCCTAGTTCTACCAGTAGACTTGCGCAGCCCAAGCCCCGTTTTGTCCACCTAGCCGAACAGGTTCAGAGTTCTGCCCAACAGCTCTTCCATTTCTTTCTCCCTTAGTGGCTCAGTGTGTGGCGACGAAGCAGGCCAGGTGGTCCATGCGGTTCCGCTGTCGAGGGCCCCTTCACAGCACTAGGACTCAGGTTCGCTGCCAAGGCATCTAGCACGCCAGTCACACTAGTGTTCCTGTGATCGTGGCATGGAAAAGATAAAGGCCATTTAAAGCTGCGGCGGGGCACCTGCTACAGCTTTGTGAGAAATCAGCTGGGCTGCATACTCAAGCTCCGCGACAAATTGAAGGCCGCTGGACGTCGTCACTACCTGTAGCTCGCCATGACCCCACAACTGAGGCTGTCAGGGCAATGCTGCAGGTCAAGCTCATGCTTTGCAGTTTTCGGCTTGACATGCTTCAAACACATATGAGGGGTGATGAAAACCCCCCACCCATTTAAATGACCCTTAATCCTGCTATTGTTTGTTTTTACTCTTATCGTTTTACAAGGTTTCGCC